AAAGAGAAATAGAAATTTAGTATTAAAAATCTGCATGGCCCAACCTACTCCTGAAATCGCTTCACAATCTCTGGACAGCCTAATTACAATAATTCTCACGAATCACACTGTATAATCACCAATGTAACAACACCACATCAGTCAATCAATTAACAAAATTAGGCAGCTTGCAGATTCACATACAAAAAGGAAAACAGAAAACAAAAAATATTGCCAAAAGAACGTCATATTCCTTTCAAAGAGCTTCGCATCACGAGGTACAAACTACCACCAACAATACCAATCAAGACCTCAACGATTAACTCTCCCCTAACTAAAACTATCTAGAACCCAAAAAAACGTCCAACCAACGAACTAAATCGCGTCGAAACTCCCCAAATCGACCGAACAACGATGCGCCAAGGTGCCGACACGCCGACCTTAGTACGCGGTCACGCGACCATTCCATTCGTCCACGACTGTCGATCTATTCCTCTTTCTGTTCGCAGAACGAAGAGCAACCAGCGGTGGATGAAACTGCGCACGACCGTGCAGCTGTCATCGGCGATCTCGACGATCCAGAAGAAGCCGCCGTTGAAGCGCGAGGACTCGTTCCTGAAGCGTTTCTCGACGCGGCAGATCCCGGAGAGCCAGGAGACGTTGGACACCGGCGAGGGCGACGGCAACGCGGCCGACGACAAAGACTTCGCCGGCCGTCGCCGTCGGCGACCGCAGAAGCCGCCGAAAACGGTGGTGAACCCGGACGAGAATTTCTATTATTACTGGCTGATGCTGTTGTCCGGCTGCGTGCTCTACAACCTCTGGACGCTGATCGTGCGCCAAAGCTTGCCGGAGCTGCAGGCGCTGGCGCCGGCCGCCTGGCTCGCCTGCGACGGCTTCACCGACCTCGTCTTCTTCCTGGACGTGGCCGTGCAATTCCGCACCGGCTACCTCGAGCAAGGCCTGATGGTCTACAACAGCAAGAAACTGGCCGGCCATTACCTGAAGTCGAAGGCGTTCGTGCTCGATCTGCTCGCGCTGCTGCCGCTCGACCTCCTCCAAGTGAACCTCGGCAGCAACCCTATGCTCAGGTTCCCCAGGTTCCTAAAGATTTACCGTGTCTATAACTATTACTATATGGTGGAGTCGCGGACGGTTTACCCGAACTTGTGGCGCGTCCTCAATCTCATACACATACTGCTGATCCTGGCGCACTGGTTCGGCTGCTTTTACTACTTGCTCAGCGAGGCGGAGGGCTTCCAGGGCGACTGGGTCTACCCGTACAGGCCCGGCGAGTACGCGACCCTGGCCAGGAAGTACCTCGGCTCCTTGTACTGGTCCACCCTCACCTTGACCACCATCGGCGACCTGCCGACCCCGGAGACCAACGCCGAGTGAGTCATACATCTCTACGACCGTACACACATGTTGCACACGAATATTGCTCTCTTTTTCCGCCGGTTTTTATAACGCTATTCTCGCTTCAACCAACCAACCAACCCCCACCACCACCGTCCTGTCGGTAATGTAACAGCACCCGCGCGTTTCACAGGGGTGCGACGGTCTGTGTTTTTTTAGAGCTCACATCGAATATTCTGACTTCAGAGAGAATCGAAAATGACGGCGCCGTTTTATGGGGGGGCGAGAGGGGGGTTTTGGAGCAATTGGCGACGCTCGCTGTGGTTTGAGCGTGCGGATGGGTTTGTTTTGTTCGCAAGGGGGAGGGGGGATCGTGGAGGTCTTCTTAACGATTCGGAGAACTTTTTGGAATTGGGGCGAAAGTGGGTGTGTGGGAAGGTACAATCGAGGATGGAGTGATTTTTCGTGGCGAAGTATGTGGGACGCGTAAATTGTCAAATTTTTGTGTGTTTCTTCTTCTTTTTTCGAGTTCATTTTGCAACTAGGATAGGGTGAAAGGTAGTTAGGGGCTTTAGGAATGTTTAGTTCGATAGATATAGCTTGGGAGACTGTTCTGAGATCACGGGCATTTAGGCTTTTATTAGGCGATGATTTTTTTCAATAAATTTTATTCAATTATTATATTATATTTCTATATTATATTATATAGTATATTATATTTCTATATTATTATTATTTATATTTCTTCATGTTTTGTTCTCGGATGCAACATTTTTCTAAAATAAATTAATAAAGATTATCGAAGTGGATATATTTTTATATGTATATAGATATTAGATATATTTCAATTATTCTTTTCTAATTATTTAAATTAAGTCAGATTTGATTTTCTTCATATTTTGTTCTCGAATGCAACAGTTTTCTAAAATAATTTTATAAAGGATATCAAAATAGATATCTTTCTTAGTTAATTCTTTTTTTGACGAGCATATTCGAAGAAATGGCAAAATTCTGTGTTACCACGAGTATACTCGCAAAAAACAGCTAACTGGTTAGTTAAAGTTAGGTTTTCGCGTTATAAGAATTATTAAACTTTTGCTCGAATTATTTTAAATTAATACATTATACAGATTATAAATAAATAGATGCTGGAATAAGCAAAAATTTGCAAAAATAAGTGCAAAATAATAAAATAAGAATTTTATTTCCCATTTTGAATTTATTTTGTCGTATGGGACACTCCATTTCCGGTTGTACCATCAGTTACATAACGTCGTTAATACCATTAACAAGGTTAAAAATATTTTTTTTTAAATCTATTGTCAAAATAATTGTTTCAAATTAACTTCTACATATGAGGAGATCATACACATTTCTAAAACGATGCAGTATAGTGCCCTGAATGGTAAATTTTATATCCTATTTCTTTTTTAAACATTTGTACTGATCGGTAAAAATATATGAAAAATATTCGTACTTTCGAAATGATGCATTTTCATAATTCAAATGTTAAATTTTCTATTTGATCATCCCATGAGGTCCAAGTTTTCTTACACCAGACACTAATTACAGTAATGTCTCCCTAACTGACGCTCAGATTACAGTAATGTCTCCCTAACTGACGCTCAGATTACAGTAATGTCTCCCTAACTGACGCTCAGATTACAGTAATGTCTCCCTAACTGACGCTCAGATTACAGTAATGTCTCCCTAACTGACGCTCAGATTACAGTAATGTCTCCCTAACTGACGCTCAGATTACAGTAATGTCTCCCTTACTGACGTTCAGATTGTTCACAAAAATGGACAATTCGGGAAGAGGAGATACGAATATTATTGAAATCCTTGCGGTTCATTTTTATAGTTATGAATTGTCGACAACTATAAAAACGAGCCGCAAGGCTCGATTAATCGTATCTCCTCTTCCCAAATTGTCCATTTTCGTGCACAATCTGAGCGTCAAATAGCGAGACATTACTGTATTTCGGTTGCAGATGCAAACGGGTCGCTTAAAGTCGGTCTCTACAGTTGACCTCTCCTCCATGAAAGATTAAGTCATGTCATTTGTTTCGACATGTGACATAATAGGGTTTTCTACGTGTTCTAGATATACGACCACATTACCGTCAATAAACTTAATAGCTGCGCAATTAGGATACGAACGCAGTCATTTCGCTGCACTGTTAAGGCTTTACCTTCACTCAAGCTTGGACTTAAATGCAAATGCGTATTCTCCTTACCTTTGAATGTCGGATCACGTATTAACGGGGTATTCGTCGTGTAAGTTACGTTTTCGTTTCACCTTCCTTGGGTTCACAGCAATGTCTCCCCTAATTGACGCTCGGGTTGCGCGCATAAATGGACAATTATGGAAGAGGAGGTACGATTATTCGTGCCATGCGTCTCGTTTTTATAGTCGTTGGCAATCGGCGACTATAAAAGAACGAGCCGCACGGCTCGAGTAATCGTATCTCCTCTTTCCTAATTGTCCGTTTTTGGGAACAACCTGTGCGTCAATTAGGGAGACATTACTGTCCTTGCGAAGAAACTATGTAACGCCTTCTGCAGTCGCATGTATTGGGTTGGCAACTAAGTAATTGCCGATTTGTTCAATGAAATGAAAAATTTCTTTTTACTTGGAACGAAGTTTAATCTGTAATGTATTTTCCATTTTGTTCGATGACCTTTTGCCATCTCTCTGACAACTTGAAAATTCCACGCTCGTAGAAAGTCTGATCCTTTTCGGCCGAAAACTGAGTTAAGTGAGATTTGACAGCGTCATCATCGTTCAAAGTTTTACCACGAAGGGAGTTGTCCAGGGATCGAAATAAGTAGTAATCCGATGACGCGAGATCAGACAACAGACAAGATGTAACATCAATTCCCAAGCAATATCCATGAATTTTTGCCGAGTGGACAAAGACGTGTGCGGCCTAGCATTGTCCTGCTGGAAAATGACACCTTTACGATGGACCAATTCTGGTCGCTTTTCCATGACCGCTGCATTCAATTTGTCCAGTTGCTAACATTCACGGATAATAAAAAATAACAGTGAACTGAAGAAATTATGATAGTTATTTGTATCGAGATAAATATTAATAGACGTAACAAAGATTAGAAATTCTAAGATTCATTAATATTTTTTCAACGCTATCCTGTACGTCGTACCTTATCCACGACATTGAAAAATGGCAGATAAACGCGTTTCGAAAGCAGTAAGAAATGTTGTGGTGCTTGTCTGGTTTCTAGTAATTAATGGAATCATTGCAGGTCAGATACTACTAGCTGCTCCAATTAATTTTATCGAGCGACTAATTTTTTGTATTTCCGACACTCTGACAGTTTCCGCTGACGAAAAAAGCATTCGAACATTTTCTGCTGACAAATGTGATAAAGCGAAAGTAATTATTTCACGCCGGATTTACGAGATTCGTTAAATGTAACGATTCCTATCATTTTAATTGAACTGTTATTATTATTAATTATTGTTATATTATAGCATAACATATATTGTGACATATTATTGTTATTATTTTTATGCAAGCTGAAAACTGTCCAAAGTCGATTGTAAGGAACTGAAATTTACAAGATACCAAATCGCTCTTTTTAATAATTTTAGTAAATTGAAAATAGTGCAATAACGTTATTAAATTTTTTCATGCATTCAATATCTTGTATTTCATCTGCTCGTTGTTATTATAAATGCCATAACGTTCGAAGTGTACTTTTTATTATTAGTGTATTAGTAAC